CGGGGGGGGGGGGGGGGTTGACGTGGCGTGCGATCAAGAGACAAGACTGTAACCCTACCCCCAAGGGAGGATGGCGATCATGTCGCAGCTGCTCTCTGGCTGTCACGTAATCTACGGCAAAGGAACAAGACTGTATGGTAGTAGCCCTCTACCCCAAAGGGAGGATGGCGATCACATCAGGGCTGCTCCCTGGCTGTCACGTGATGTGCGGCAAAGACACAAAGGGAGGACTTCTACCCTATCCTACCATCCTACCCTAGAGGGAGGAGTTGGTGGTGGCGATCACGTCACGACTGCTTTGTGTCGCAGGACTGATGTCATGTCGCGTTTGTACTCCTAATTTCGCTTTGGAATACAAGTAGTGACGACGACGCGGCAGCAGCTTGCATCAGAGGGCATGTTGCGACACCACACCAAACGCCAACGGCTTCGCTGTGTTACACGAAAAAAACAAAAACATCCACAGGGCGACAGGCAACATATATGTGACCCCACACAGGGAGGGACCAGCACCGAAACACTCGAAGGAACGTGAACACGTGTCAGAATGCACTACGATTTACATGTCATTTTCGTTCGTATTACAAAATTACCTTGGACTGCGTTCGGCCCAGCTCCGCCTTCATGTCAACGGAACCCTTGTAGGTTCCCCCGCCATCTCCCTCCTGCAACCAGGGACACACAACACACAACACACACAACACAGGGCATGTTGGATAGATAACAGATTGGGAAACAAGAGCACGATCAACACCAACACCAACACAGTATCAGACACCGATGCATCGCAGGCAGGGGAGACACACCCGGATACCACTCTCACGCCCCAGAACCGTGTAGGCCACCACATTTATCAAGGAGGTCGCGATTAAGCACAAAATTAGCGCGGCCATATTGACGAAAGATAGTTTTAACAGAACACCCTAGAGTCTGGCATGTATCTATCCCCTGATGGTGTTCCCACTGCTTCAAAACGGAGCCAGAGTACATGTAGGATTTCTCAATGGGTGGGGCAGTCCTCACAACAATTGGCCTTTTTACTAACACTAACACATTATCTCGGCGGGAGGCGTTAGAACCGTGGCGTCGAGAGCTTTCCGAAAACGCACCACATGATTCCGAAATCCTCTCCGTGGTGGGGTAGTCAGGCTTCTTACACCATGCGACCTACGGTAACCTCGAACGGATACATAGTCACTCAGTGATCGTACGCGGTAAATTTTCTAGCTTTGTTGCACGTTCGTCACCTCTTGAGCCATGTCCGCCATCAGCTCATCCGTGTAGGCCTTAAGCTCCGAGAGCTCCACCTGGACCAGCTCGCTCGCTGTTCGCTGCCCGCCGTTCGTTATCGAAATGTCCGCACCCGCCTGCAGCCGTCCAAAAGCATATACAC